ATCAAGAATTTTCCGGGCAGGAACAACAACCACCAACAAGAATGCACAGAGAGCGCGAGAGACTCTGGATTGGGGTGGTGGGGTGGTGGAGACTGAGCAAGAAAGCCCAGTGGAATTTAGCCAACACACAACCTATGTCCTTTAGTGCCAGTTCTGGTCAAAGAATTAGGATGTGGGCAAGGAGACTGCAGTGTCCCTATCACCAGCAAAAGGACAAGGGTAAAGATGGAAAAAGACAAGATGGTTCTCGAGGCCAGGAATTGGAGAAAACCCTAAGAATGGAGAATAAAGAATTTGCAAAGTTAGTGCATCTGACCTAGAGCCAGAGGGGACAGTTTGGGGCCCATATTGGACCATAACCTTTTTTTATTGAGAGGTCTAGGAAGCAAGAGAATTTGAAAGCAGGAAAGGTTCTATCCAAGGTCCGAAGAGCTAACTTAAGACTAGGCAGTTCCTTCTCACTTGGGCCTCAACAAGAAATGATTAATATACTTCAAAGACCAGGAAAAAAGAGCTGAAAACAGAGAGTAAATTTTTAAAAGCAATAAGAACAGGCAGTACCTGGTGAAGGTGACTCATGCTTTCGTCAGATTATTTGATTTTTTTTTTTTTTGGAAATCTGAGTAAGGTCGACAGGATAGCTCTGTGAATGATGGTTTCTATCTGTAAGAAGAAACTACACTGTTAGACTGAGTTTAGCTGATGTTTTGCTTTGAAATCCTCTGTAACCTAGACCAGTTCTCCTTCTTTCACCTTGATAATAAAAAAGATCTTTTTATGAACCTGCAACTTCTGCCTGCATAGTCATAGATGGTGGTGACCAGATAAAATATGAAAGGGGTCAGGATTTTTATTGAGAATACAGCCCCAGAAAGAATCCACCCCCCAAAAAAGTCTTAGGTAGGGCTGAATAGATACCTCAAGCATTGCCAAGAAATGACTCTGGGGTACCATATTGCGTAGGGTATGCATTGGCTTCCAGTTATGTAAGAGCACTATCTCCTCTAGGATTCTCCTCAGTTAAAGCCTTCAGGAGGAGAATCTTCCATATGAGGTTGTTGGGTTGTGTTATCCATGCTGTGGCTGCAGTAGTGTTTGATATTAAAAAGTGGTTGGCTAGATGTCAGAAATTTGGTTAATTGGGAAAATAATTCATAGTTTTTACTTTGGAGCTGGACAAGACCTTAGGGATTATTATTTTGTCCAACCCAATTTATTTTTTATATTTTTAAATTTTTATATTTTATCTTTTTTTCTAATTGCATGTAAAAGCAATTTTTAACATTTGTTTTTAAAATTTTTTTGAGTTCCAAATTTTCTTCCTTCTTTTCTCCCCTCTCCTCTCCTTGAGAAGTCAGGCCATTTAATACAGATTATACATGTGCAATTGTATAAAACATATTTCCATATTAGCCATGTTGTGAATGAAAACAGACAAAAATAAAGTTAAAAAAAAAGTATGCTTTGATCTGTATTTAGACTCCATCGCTCTTGAGGTGGAAAACATTTTTCATCATAAGTCCTTCGTAATTATCATTGTATTGCTGAGAATAGCTAAATCATTTACAGTTGATCACCATACAATATCGCTATTACTCTGTACAATGTCCTCCTGGTTTTGCTCACTTCACTTTGCATCGGTTTGTATCAGTTCATATAAGTCTTTCCAGGTTTTTCTGAAACCATCCTGCTCCTCATTTCTTAGAGCACAATCATATACCACAACTTGTTCTGCCATTCTCCAATTGATTGGCATCCCCTCAATTTCCAATTCTTTGCCACCATAAAAAGAGCTACTATGAATATTTTTGTACATATAGGTCCTTCTCCTTTTTGTTTTCATGTCTTTGGGATACAGACTTAGTAGTGGTATTGCTGGGTTAAAAGATATGCACAGTTTTATAGCCCTTTGGGCATAGTTCCAAATTGCTCTCCCGAACCAATGCCATTTATTTTTGACAGATGAAAAACCTGAGGCATGTAAACTTTAAATGTCTTGGCCAAAGACACACAGGTACTAAGCAGCAGAAGAGGGAAGGGAGTCCAGGAGTTTGACTCCAAATCCAGTATAGTCTAGTTACTGCCCTGGTCTTATTGCTAGAGCCTCAGCATTGCACTGGTTTGTTTTTTATATGAAAGTTGGGTCATATTCATTGAGAGCAACAGTGTCTTTTGGGGAACTTTGTTTAACCTTGATTAGATGAGCTGGAAAATTCAAATCCAGTTGAACTACAGAGCTCTTTTCTTTTCAGGAATTTCTTGAAAGGCAGTTAGGAAAACCTGATGTGAAGGTGAACAGAGGCAGCAAGCCAGTGCTCTTCTATGCTGGCACATTTGTTAATTGTAATTTATCAAAATCAATAGAGAAACTATTGGTCAACTTAATAGCCTGACGCTATTAACTGAAAGAAAAGATTTTCTGGGAAATATTTATACGGTTTTCAAAACTAACAGTTTTATTTTGTTTTTAACAGTTGTCTTCTTAAAACCTCCCTCCCCTAAAGTTGCTCTTACTACCCTTGCCTACATTGTACTTATTGCCTCTAAGGCTTATGTGGCACCTAAAGTGTGTCCTGCTATGTAGTGCTAATTTATCTTGGGTCAGCTCAGGAGCCCCTCCTGAGAGAGGCTTTCCCTTGTTAGTACTTTCCCCTTCCCCAACTTGCCTTATATTTATTCATCTGTGTGTGTACTACAATCTCTCCCCAAATACAGGTTGGCTCTTTTAATGTATGGTGGATTTAAAAAAAAAGTTTCAAAAATAGAAGATATTTTCCAATTATTTTAAATCTGAAATTCATTTTAATGATACTGTCTTCTTCAAATATCAAGAAAATGCTGGCTTTTATTAGAAGGGATGCCACTCAGTTTTGGAGTTTCTTGTTATTCAGTCATTTTAGTTGTGTCTAACTCTTCATGACCCCATTTGAGGTGTTCTTGACAGAGATACTGGAGTGGTTTGCCATTTCCTTCTCATTTTACAGCTGAGGAAACTGAGGCAACTGAGGCAAACAGGGTGAAATGACTTGCCCAGGGTCGCACAGCTAGTAAGTGTTTGAGGCCAGATTTGAACTCAGGAAGATGAGTCTTCTTGACTCCAAGCCTGACGCTCTATCTGCTAAGCCATTTAGCTACCCTCAGTTTTGGAGTTGCTGAAACAATAATAAACATAGCACAATGGGACCTTCCCATTCAGATGTTAGCATACAGTAAAATCAATGACTGCTGTGCTGGATCTGGACCAGATGAAGAACAGTCATTAATTAGGAATCCAATAACAAGATAGTAATGTTAGAAAGTTAAGTACTCATGCTCAGTGGAGCTAAGGCCCTGGCCACCTATAGTACTCTCTGTGTGTATTTACTATGGGACCACTCATAGTGAAAATCACAGATTATAAAACTGCTGATCATGATAGTTTCCTATATATAGTTCTAAAAATCATTTTCATTGGGATTTTGGAGGCAGTATGTTATAAAGCAAAGAGATCTGCCCGTTTGACCCTGGCCAAGTCACCCAATGTCCTCAATGTCCCTGACAATTCTCTAAGCCTATAAGTTGCAAAAGAGATGTTAATAGAAAGAGATTCTTTACTGGGAGTTCCCTATACCAATGAAATAACATCTGGACCAAAAAAAAAGTTTGGATTTTCTAAATCCTGTATCTGGAGGAGGAAAATCACCTATAGATTTTGGTACATGTCCCTTTTGTGTATTAGCTAGCTATCCAGTGGTCTATCATTTAACCTGAAAAGATAATAACTATGGAAAATTTTCATTTTTCATAGTTATTGCTTATTTATGTAGGTAGTGATGACAGAGAGAGAATGTAGTAGATAGAGGGCTGCTGTAATCCTGCAAATCAATTTGGAACTGTGTCCCCAAATTTCCTAAACTATGCATACATACCCTTTGACCTAGATATCCCCAACTTCCCCCAGTGGAATGGGCTAATGAGAACAATTTGTGCCAAAAACCGTGAGGGCAGCTGAAGTGGGCACTGCGGAATCCACATTTACTGCATCCAGGGCCATCACCAGTCTTTATGACTTTTCTCTTGCCTCTGGACTCTGATGACTCTGGAAGAGAGAGTGAGGCCTATGAATCTGAACAACTCTGCCTCATTTAAATCCAAATCCCACACAAGTCAAGACATCACCCCATGATGTCATTGGTCCTCTTTGAAAATGAAGGATGAACAGCAGTCTTTCGACCTAGCAATGTACTGCTAGGTCTGTTCACCAAAGAAAGAAATAAAAATGAAAGGATCCCATACATACAAAAATATTTATAGTAGTTCTTTTTGTCACGGCAAAGTACTATAAACTGAAAGGACACCCATCAATTGATGAATGGCTGAAAAAAAAAACATGGCATATAAATGTGATAGAATACTATTGCATTGTAAGAAATGGTGACCAAGACAGTTTCATAGAAATCTGGGAAGACTTATTTAAGCTGATACAGAATGAAATTAGCAGAACCAGGAAAACAGTTTCTATAACAAGAACAACAACATTGTAAAGACAATCGACTTTGAAAGACTTAAGAATTCTCTTTAATGTAATGAAAATCCTTGATTTTAGATGACCAGTGATGCTACCCACCTCCTGACAGAAAGATGAAGCTTTTCTTTTTCTTTGTTTAATAGTAGGTAGTAGGAGAGAGAAAAAACAAATTTTTGTTAATTGAAAAAAAAAAAAGATAGAGAGCTGGCCCTGGAGTCAGGACAACTTCAGTTCAAACTTCATCTCTGAAACATATTCTGTCTGTGACTATGAATGGGCAAGTCACAAACTCTTAGTGCCCCAGATATCTCTCAAAGACCATAAGGATATCATAACTTTGTCTCCCCCTTTTTTTTTATTTTATGCCCTTATTGTTATGACTAATCACATGCATGTGGTGCTTAATAACTGTTTGTTGATTGGTTGGTTTTATCTCATGAAATAGACAAAATATTGATAGCACATTTATGATTCCAACTATTATCTTTTTCAGTAACCAACGAGACGGGAAAAAAATGAAGAAAACTAACATGATCAGCCCATTAACATTGGTAAGTTATGGACCATGTGTGAGATTGTATCTTTCCAATACAAAACTGATACTAAGGAAGAGAAAGGGAACAGGCATTTAGTAAGCACCTACTATGTGCCAGGAACTGTGTGAAGTACCTTACAGAGATTATCTCATTGGATCCTCACAACAACCCTGGCGGGTAAGTGCTAGTATAATCCCTATTTTACAACTTAGGAAACTGAGGCAGACAGAAGTTAAGTGACTCACAACAAACATATTTTAAAGTACTGGCTGTGTTCAGAGCTCTCTGCTAGCCACTTCAGGAGATAAAAGGTTCTTTCCCCTTCACTAGGCTGTAATATCCTGCGAGAGTTGGATTAGATATTCTCTGACATCTCCAACAACTCTAAAATCCCAAGATCCTTGAGGGCCCTGGCATAACATTTCAAGTTTGGCAGAGAAGTGAAGTGAAGGGAAATGACGGTGACATGGACAACTATAATACCCAACATCGAGTGCATTAGAGAGAGGCAAAAGACAGTTTAGCAGCCAGTCGAGTCTGAGGGTATAGGTCATTAACAACTAGATGGAACAGGGAAAGTTTCTTGGAAGAAGTAACATTTGAGCTGAACTTTAAAGGATGGGTAGAAATTCAAAAGGCAAAAAGAGGATATTTCAGGCATCAGGGGTAAGGCATTGCCCATAGCTAGTGCTAGGAGTAAGCAAGGTAGACATCTGCTTCTGGCCCAGCGCAGTGAAGTGAGAGAGAAAAGGGGGCAACATCTGATACTGTTTATGTAGTATTTTGTATGTGTGCACATATGTTTAATGCCCCCAAATTTTGCTCTTCATAGTCATTAGGTATTTGTTTAGTGTCAAGTTATGGTCAATAAGTAAACATCTATTATGTCAGGTACTGTGCTAAGTACTGAGAATACAAAGAAAGGCAAAAGATAGTCCTTGATCTCAAGGAGCTCACAGTCTAATGGGGGAGACCACATACAAACCAGTTATGTACAAGCAAGACAGAGACAGGATAAATTGGAAATAATCTACAGAAGGAAGACACTAGCATTAAAGGGAATTGGGAAAGACTTCTTGTAGAAGGTAGGATTTTAGCATTAAGTGACGTGTCCAGGGTCACATAGTTAGTAAGTATATAATGCTGGATTTGAACTCAGGTCTTCCTGACTGCAAGTCCAGCATTCATAGAGTTACAGATCCTCAGCACCTAGCTGTGTGCCTTGCACATAGTAAGTAGTTAACAAATGTTTGTTGACTTGGACAGAACTAGAGGAAAAAGCTAATTAAATAAGGCAGTTCAAATCCCTCCTTTCTGTAAGAGGTTTCTACCATTCTCCCCTGATATCAGTGCCTTCCCTATAAGATTATCCTCCATTTACATTGAATATATCTTGTGTGCATCTAGTTATTTACATGTTGTCTCCTTTATTAGAGGGGGAGGTTCTTGAGGGCAGGAAGTACCTTCAATCCTTGGTGCCCTTAATAAAAGCTTGTTGACTTTTGACTGAACAATAAGAGATGTGGATATGCTTAAACCTACTCCATGTGTAGAGGTGGATGGTTTATCAGAGTGATCTTTAAATGAAGAAGTAGTTTGTAAGCTTATGTTATCCTTAGCTTATATTTGGAATTCAGCTCTAAGGAAATCTATCTACAGGGTGATTATTATGATTATTGCTACTGCTACTTGTGATAGTGAAAAGACTGTTGAATTAGAGGCAGAGTCTGCCTCTGACCATTATGTGACCTTAGACAAGTCACTTAACTCTCTTTGGATTTAATTGGTAAAATGCGGGATTTAAACTCTCTAGCTGGAGGCAGCTAGATGATGCAGTGAATAGAACACTGGACCTGAAGTCAAGAAGACCTGAATTAAAATTCAGCCTCAGACACTCGTTAGTTGTGTGACCCTGGGCAAGTCGCTAGAGCCCTGTGGGTCTCAGTTTCCTCAACTGTAAAATGGGGATAATAATAGCACTTATCTCCCAAGGTTGTTGTCAGTTCAGATGAGATAAGAGTTGTAAAAGCACTTAGCCCAGCACCTGGCACATGGTACGTGTCTCCTTCCTTCCTTCCTTCCTTGCTGTGCTCAAAGACCCTAAAGCCATGCTTTATGAAGAACCAAACCTCATCTCAGCTTCTGGTTCAAAATGCTTAAGACAGCCTTTGGTCTGCTTTCACTCTGAAATGAAGATTAATCTTACTTCAGTCAGCAAATATTCCCAAAGGACTTATTAATAGCTCATGCAACTTTCTCGGCAGTCTTAGTGAAAAAAAGAGAAGGGGTAGGAGGGGTGAGGCCAAGGATAGCGCTTTTTAAGAAGCCTTTGTTCCCCTTTTTTATTGACCTTTTTTTTTCTGGATGTAGAGGGTGGGCCAAGAAACCAACCCCAGAAGGGTTTTTTTTGCCTGCATCAGGGAATGGAGAATAGGGAAGGAAACCATGAGACTGAGTTCAGTACAACAGTGACCAAGGGGAGAAGAGGGACTGATTTAAAACAGCTGTTAGCAGCAGTTGACAGAAAATCAAGTGAGTCAATCTCTGGAGCCCCCAGAAGCAATGAAAGAGGGATCTTGGGCAGAGGAAAAGAGAGAGAGCATTCCAAGCAAGGGGGACAGAGAGGACACAGAGCCTGGAGATGATGTTGGGGATTGAGGAACAGCAAATAGGCCAGTGTGGCTAGATTGTAGGGTGTGAGGAGAGGAGGAAAGCGGAAAAAGACCAGAAGAATAGGAAGAGAAGCCAGGTTGTGAAGAGTTTAGCTGCCAACATGCCATCACCCAGTTCATCATTCTGCCTGCTCAAAGGTCAGATGTTGTGACTTATTCTTCATACTACTCTCTAACCCTCCCAAAGTCTGTGATACCTCCAGGAAGTCACAAACTGAGGAAACCTTCATCCTCTGACCCTGACCTCTCAGGAAAGATAGAGTGAATGCAAGATGAGTTAATTTATAGGGAAAAATAAATTCATAGGTAATGGAGAGGGTTTAAGAAACCCTCTTCATGCTGGAAATTTAGCTTCTTAAGTTGTTTAGGTCTGTTCCACTGAGCAGGCCCAGAGGTCCTCATATGTATGCCATTGACCTCACGTTCAGTCTGCAAGTTCAGCAAGACACCCCATTTCTTTACAAAGAGAAATGCAGAAAGAGGAGCTTTAGCCCCAGAAGGAAGTAGGGGAAGTAGAGTGAAGGGTGAGGGAAACAATCATTTAAAAAGATTGTCATAGAGAGGTTACAGTACAGACAGACAGAAAGGATTTCTTAGTCAATTGCCCTAATCTCTGGGCTTCTGGGTGTCAAATGTTATCACCTGTTATCTCTAACCTTGAAGTCCTCACTTCTTATAGCTAAAGCTTCCAGCCGAAGTCCAGGATTTTTAACACCTTAGCCCCAGAGAAAAGTAATTTCCAGTGCTTTAGCTGAAGTAATATTATCTGGATAGATAAACAAAGCCTAAATGCTCAATTCAGCCCCTGACCTACAGAGCAAGAGGTTAGATCAGATAGCATAGTTACCAGAGAAGTATCCTGTTGCTGTGGAGACAGGCTCTGTGCCTAAGACTACGTAGGTTCAAGCCTGCCTTGAACACTCACTGGTTGTGGGAACAAGGGCTAGTCACTCACCTAGCCTCTTTGTGCCTAAAATGAAGGCAGCGAGGTGTCACAGTGGATAGTGAGAAGTCAGGAAGACTCATCTTCATGAGTTCAAATCCGGCCTCAGACACTTACTAGCTAGGCGAGTCACCTAACCCTGTCTGCCTCAGTTTCCTCATCTGTAAAATGAGCTGGAGAAAGAAATGACAAACCACCCTAAGAAAACCCCAAATGGGGTCATGAAGAGTCAGACAGAGACTGTTTAGTTCCAGTTCCTTATTTTAGAGATGAAAGAATCCAGGCCCAGCGAAATTAAGTATCAAGGTCACACAGATGGTCTGCCTCAGAGGCAGAATTTGAACCCAGATCCTCTGGATTCCAGAGCCAGTCGTTTTTCCACTGCTCCACACCTTGCTTTTAAGACTGCAAATTACAGATGAGTTGCCACCCTGAGAGTTTCCCACAGCAATGAAATTACAAATTTGGGACCCCCCCTAAAAAATTTCATTGCTTTTTAAGGAGGTTTACATAACATAGATTAGGTAGTTTCACTTTCCAAGTATAACCCATGTAGAGCAAGTGTAAGAAACAGATCAGGCTCACGTAGGCTATTTGGGGGCATTACTCAGTTTGGGGACTTCTGCCTCCTCAAAGCTACTCTCACATTTTCCCTAATTCCTCACATTTTATAGCCCCATAGTTAGTTATTTTGGGGGTCCTACTGGTATCAGTTTCCTACCCTGATTAAAGAAAAATGAAATGCTTAGTGCCTGGGAAGTTCCCATTATTCACCTGTTTATGTTTTCTCTAGCATTAGAGCCATTTTGTGGCTTCAGACCCCATCTGCCCTAGGCTGCCTTCAGCTGCCAATTGTCAGGCAGTGTAAGTGATTTTCCACCCAGCCTAGCTTCTCTGCTTACTAACAGACTGCAGATGCTCAGATTCCTGTCTAAGGCTCCCTTCCCTAGGCAGTTCTGAATTTCCTTTCGTGTGCAACAAAGAGAGGAGCAGCTCCCACTTGCAAAGCTTTGAGGTTTACAAAATACTTTCTTCACAATAACCCTGCAAAATTGGTAATACACGTATTATTGTCCTCATTTCACAGATGAAGGGGAAGAGGGAAGGGAATAAGTCTTTATGCAGTTCCTGCTATGTGGCAGGCACCCTGCTAAGGCTTTGCAAATATCATCTAATTTGTGAATGAGGAACCTGAGGCTTAGAGAGATGAAGGAACAAGCCTTTTGTCACACGTGGAACCCCCATCCAGAACAAAAGTGTAGGTTTCCTTAGAATAGACTCAATCATGGAGGCTTCTCCCAGACATCTCTCTTTTGAGATCATCCCAAATCTAACTTTGCCCATTGCGAAGAATATACCTGTCTTAGCATTTAGTTATGTAGAAGTGGAATTGGGCAGCTAGGGGGCACAGTGGCCTGGAGTCAGGAAGACTCATCTTCCTGAGTTCAAATCCGGCCTCGGACACTTACTAGCTGTGTGACCCTGGGCAAGTCACTTCACCCTGTTTGCCTCAGTTTTCTCACTTGTAAAACGACCTGGAGAAGGAAATGGTGAACCACTTCAGTATCTTTGCCAAATGAGGTCATAAAGAGTTGGACACAACTGAACAAGAACAAAAAGTAGAATTGACTGCCACTGGAAAGAGTGGATTCCCTCTCATTTGAAGTTTCTACCTGACATTTTATTGAGAGTTGTAGAGAGAATTCTTGGCAAGTACCAGTTCAACCAGGTGGCCTCTGAGATCTTTTCCAATTTTGAGAATCCATATTTGTGGAAAATAGACAATTCCATTCTGCATATTGAGTTCTCTTTTGTTTCCTTCTTTTTTTTTCCAGTTTCGATATTCTGATTGGAAAGATAAATTATTTATGGTGCTGGGCACCATCATGGCCATTGCTCATGGTTCAGGTCTCCCGCTTATGATGATAGTATTTGGAGAAATGACAGATAGCTTTGTAAATACTGCAGGAAACTTTTCTTTCCCAGGTAAGTATTGCCCTAGTTTTCTTACTTCCATTATTCATTTCCCTGATTGAAAGAATAGGTTTTTATTTCTGTTGTTGCCAGCTATTTACAGTGATTTGCCAACTTGGTTTGGCCGTACTCCTGCTCTTTCCTAGATTTCACAAAGGGTTATTGTCAGGCCCTCAGGAAACACCCTAAATATTTTACTTTGATTTAAAGATGAATGAATGGATGCAAGGGTTAATGGATGAGTGAATGAATGAATGAAAAATGCATGAATAAATAAATAAATAAACTTTGGTGGTACATTTCCCTCAGGGAAGGAAAAATTTTCAGTCCATCATTTAAGGGGGTCTAGCATGACAATTTTAGAAGTCATTCTACTTGGGTATAGCATTTCTATTGTTGCTGTTTTTAACATGTTTTATATAGTTATACAACATCCAGAACATTATAAAAAATCAAATATTAAATGTGTTTGATGCTGAAAATATTTTTTGTGTGACAGTAGTGCTTAGCTTATTATGGTAATGAAGTATTCTCGTGCCTGTTCCCATTTTCTGCTTCCAATTTTTTTTGCTGATTCAGATATATAGAGAAACTTTAAATAGTGAAAGAACAGAAGCAGAATCAGGCTGATTTCTCCTGGACCCCATATCATTTAATTCCCAAAGTAAATGAGATGGTTTTACCTCATAGCTTGAGCCCCTAAGGTAGTCCCTGTTTTTTTGTGAGTCTTGGAACCCTTGTTGCCTTTCTCAGAATAATGTTCTTAGATACATAAAATAAAATACATAAGATTACAAAATAAACCAATTATATTGAAATATAGTTATCAAGATTTTTTTTAAGGAACAACTTCACAGACCCCAGACTAAGAACCCCTTCCCCAAGGATTGTTTTGTTTTGTTTGTTTTTTTAGTGAAGTTTCTGTTTAGTGAATTGTTCTTCAGATTAGCCAAATACCATGGTACCAAAGATTCCTGTGCTTTATGCAAAGCCTGCTGGGCTTCCACAAAACCATCAAACTTTGTGGGATTCAGTATATCGAAGGGATGGTTGAGTGCAAGAAAAAAACAGATTGATGGAGGACAAATAGCTTTCCGCTATAAATGATGTTTGGCATTTGACAAGGGTTCTCAGGGGCAGCTAGGTGGTGCAGTGGATAGAGCACCGGCCCTGAAGTCAGGAGGACCTGAGTTCAAATCAGGCCTCAGACCAAACACTTGACACTTACTAGCTGTGTGGCCCTAGGCAAGTCACTTAACCCCAATTGACTAAAAGTAAAAAAAACAAACAGCAAAAACAAAACAAGGGTTCTCTGTTCTGCAGAACTTGGCTCACATTTTTGAAGACCTCAATTATCTAAGGACATGCAATGGATGGTTTTGTTCAATGAGCACAGCTTGTTTGCATAGATGTGGTCAATATTGACTCTGTTTAGGAGCCCAGTTTAAGTAGCCTTAGAAAACCCAAGCTATTCAGTGTACAAACACATTTTTTAATGTTAGCCAAACTCACGTTTCAGTTTTAACATGGTACCACACGCTACAAGCAACAAGCTAGTTTTTTCCAGAATAGTTCGACCACAGATTATATGCCAAGATTACAATCTCCTCCATTAATCTAGATTAAATAATTAATTAATTGTGATAAGATTTGTATCTCATTGTATAAACTTGGTTTAGGAGAAAGACATGAAATGTGTTGGGAAGGCAGAAACCTTTTAAATCAGTTACTTTGGGGGCAGCTAGGTGGCGCAGTGGATAGAGCACTGGCTCTGGAGTCAGGAGGACCTGAGTTCAAATCCAACCTCAGACATATAACACTCACTAGCTGTGTGACTCTGGGCAAGTCACTTAACCCCAATTGCCTCAGCAAAAAAAGAAAAAAAAATCAGTTACTTTGTCATCTGGAATAGAATATGGCAACCAAAGTTGAAATTCATTCACCCTGCAAATGGGCAGATTCCCTAGGGGACGCTGTCATTAAGGGTTGTCAAAAGATGAGGAGTTAACAAAAGAGACAGAGAAATGTAGAATGGTAGAAGAAGAACCAAGACAGTTTAATGCCTAAAGTCAAAGGAGGAGAGATTTTCTAGTGGGAGATAGTGGTCACAAGTTGCAGAGAGGTCAAGGACCTGAAAAAAGGTCCATTGGATTTGAAGGTCTGAAGAAAGAGTGGTATTGAGGTATTGGATGAAGACAACATTTTTAATGATGTTTAGAAGTGAAGAAGAAGAGAAAGATGGGATAGTAGCTAAATGATGGAAAAGGCAAGCCATTAGGACCATTTTAGGCCTGAGGAGACTGGAGTATGGTTGTAGTTGGATGAAATACTTGGTTTTTCTGCTCATCTCAAGCAGAGAATGAATGCCTCTGATAATCTCTTTACTTGATTTTCAGACTAGCAGGAGAGTTAATGAAAGACAAATATGAAGGGAATGCTGAAAAAAGTTTTAAGTTACTTGGTGGACTGACACCAAATTGCAATTTGTGAGACAAGCCCATCCTTGTTAACATGACTTGATAACAGGGCTGGTTTGCTTCCATTGGTAAATAGCTCAGTTGTGAAGGTACCAAGTAAGAAGTGTCCCACCTTCAGAACCACGAGGGCAAGTAGTACCACAAAACCAAATGATTCTGTGAGGATTCCGGGAGACTATTAACCTCTATACCAAATGTATGCAACTATAATTATGTAAATAATCAAAATCAATAGCTTGCTTTTTCCTGAACACAATTTTCAACATGGATCCACTCTCTACAGCAACATGCTAGGAGACAAAAAGTTCTTTCTGGAATAGTTTGACCACAGGTTATATGCCAAGATAATAATCTCCTGCATGAATCTAGATTCATTAAGTTATTCTAGGTGGATAGTGATTTTGGCTCTCATTTTAAAAATACTTTTATACTCTTCCAGTGGTTGGCAGATATCCTTATAAAAGGACTTAATTATTGGTCCATGCTGTGTAAGCATGAGTACTGCCATTTTTAGAGCTGGGATGAGTAGATCTTTCATTTTGAGTGGATACTTAGATAAAGACAACAAGCATTATTAAGTGCTTACTGTGTGCCAGACACTGTTCTAAGTGCTGTGGGTCCAAACTTAAGCAAAAAGAAAGACACCGCCTGTCCTTGAAGAGCTTACATTCTAATGGTAGAAGGCAGTATCAAAAAAAAAAAAAAAAGGAACCTGAAAAGTAGGGATAGGAAGGAAAGGTAACTTTGAAGGTACCTTCATGGCATAGGATGAAGTCAACCAAGTGGGGAATGAAGCATGGCCAACCTGAGCCTGTGCCCAAAATGGAGGTCTCAGAAGGAATTCATCCATGGGCAAAGGGTATCAGCATGAAGGAGGGAGATTCCAGAGTGAGAAGGCCCCAGGAAAATTCCAGAAGGAGAAGATAGTTATCAGAAGGGGTTTGTCTCCCCACAGTAAAGATCTATAAGTGCTGTGTAACCTTGTGTGGTCATTGCCTCCAGACCCTGCCTCCAAGTTCCCATGGTACTTGGGCTCACCAGACTGTATGTAACAGGCCAGACTTAAACAGTCATGGAAGATATGCCATGATCCATAACTACTCCCTAGCTTCCATTCTTCTAGTTTGTAAAATCCCTAAATCACCAGATCAGTGTCAGAACTTGTCTTCTAAAAGCATTCTTAGCTATGAAACTGTCACTGAATGAATTGGGATCTTTGTGTTAGGGGAGAGAAGGGGACAGGAAGGGAGGAAGGAGTAACTTGGCACTTAGGGCTCCTCCAGACTGGCGGAGCCGGTGTGTCAACATGGAAATTTCTCATGGTCTGGTCCCCATGGTTCTTCAAAATGCCATGGTTTCCAAATTCTTGCTCATCCCTTGTTCTCCCAGGTAGCCAGTTGTCAATCTGATTCTGACACAGCACAGGTGGCATGCTAACCGATTTGGGTAATAAGCACTCAGAGCTAGAACAAATAATAGCAGAAATAATGAGAATGATAACTCACATTACTAGTACTTTGAGATATACCAAACTCTTTCCTTATAACAACCTTGTGACAGCTGCAGAGTAAGTATTGATATTCCTATTTTACATATGAGGAAACTGAGCTCAGTGAGGTTAAAGTCACTTGCCCATGGTGACATAGGTCTTATGGGTAAAGCCAGAATTGAACCCCAGGCATTTCTCACTCCACATTTAGCGCTCTATCACACTACCTCTCTAACCAATCTTCAAGTTCTACTTAAAAGTCTTGCCATTTATGTGGTGGAGATGGGGAGATGTTGATTTGTTCATTGTATTTAGACATATGAAAAGTTCAGTTAAAGAGTAGAAGCTTTCAGTTGTCCACAGTTATAAGATGTCATGATCCTGAAGCTAAAATCATACCAGACACTATGCCAGGCAACAGACCCTGGCAAGACTTCAAGGAGTAAATAAATTTCAGCCTTATCTCTTTTGGAAAAATTTCAGAGTAGCTAAAGAACATGACCTCTGGCACATTTACCTAAGAACAATGTTGAACTGATCTGTCCCACCAGGGTCAAATCACAGTACAGTAAAAAGAAATCATCCTTCTAGTACCTTTTCTCCATGTTGTTCAGCATCACTGAAGGAAGGATAGTGCTGAATAGAAGCCTGAATGGGGAGGGACCCCATCTAATGCTTTGTCCTAGCGATCAATATTGGCTTTTTTCTCTTTTTCCGCCAAGGCACTTCTTTGTCTTTGTGTGAAGGGGAAGAAGTGGGTATGAACACAAACCATTCACCTATCTGTTGAATGATGACTTAAAAATGTGAAATGCTCTTATTTAAATAAATCTCAGTTTATTAATACTTTGTTTTTATGTCACATTCATTTCTGAATTTTTTCTTCCTTCTGCTGTGCAGAGTCATCCTTTGTAATAAAGAATAAAAAAAGAGAAAAAGAGTAGTTTAGCAAACCCACTCGAGGCAATAACTATGAATGACAATACATGCCAGAAGAAAATATTCTTATCATATTTGCTCATATTAATAGCAGAGGAGACCTGGATTCTAATCCCAGATCTCCTGGTTAACTCGCTTTGGGCTTAGTTACTTAACTTAAAAAAGTTAACTTTGGGAAAGTCACTTAACTCCCTCAGTGTCTTTACCTGTAAAATGAAAGTGTTGGCTTAGATATCTAGTGTTCACTCATGGTCCTTTCTAGTGCTAAGATTCTGGGCTTCTATCAATACAGAATGGAATTGGAAGTCAGGAGACTTGTGTGCTTTCTAAAGTCATTGCTAAGTTACCTTTTGTGTATAGTTCAACTTGTATCATTGTGCTTCAAACTCTGATGACCTTATCCCTTCCTACCTCACTAAGTGAAGTATGGTAGGGATGATATGGAAGAAAAGGGGCAAAAAATTAAAGGTACAAATACAAATTACCTGGAAAGTGCTTGGAAACCTCCCACTCCCACCCCCAACCCTCAAGAAAGCTACCTTTTAATTATGGTAAGGTAGAAAGGGTTTAAAAAAATCATTATTTATTGTTTCTTTTTTTGTGATAGTTCAATGTAATCTTCTACCAATGTCCCTGAAATGCCTTTGCCAAGTTTCTTAGAAAACAGCTACAGAGACCACAAATAAATAGCACAGGAGAATCAAGAAGACCTTGTCTTACCTATTGTGTGCCTATGGTAACATCTTTACTCAAACCCTTGAGCTCACTGTTTCATGGTGAACTTGCATTTGCAAAGAGAAACCTTAATTTTGCATGGAAAATATAAATTGTAGAATCTTCTAGCTTCTGAGTATTTAAACTCTAAGCAGGTGTTTGCTTTTCTTATCTTTTTTTACATAGAGAATAGTGTTTACTATACACAGTGATAGCCAATGATTTTGAAACTATCAATGCCAGTGTTTTAGGTCAACCTTTTAAAAATGTCTTCTGTTAATTTCTTTTTATTTAGTAAATTTTTCTTTGGCGATGTTAAATCCAGCCAGAATTCTGGAGGAAGAAATGACCAGGTAATTGGCTAACATATGTGTATTCAAATTGTACTTATATAAATGTAGTTTCAAGAGAATGAAAGAGATATGTGTGCTATACTTTATCCAAGATGAGAAAACATAGAGATTAAACATATGAAATATCTTGGCTTACTCATGAATTTTATAGATTTCTGTGTTAGCTACTAGGGAATATAGAACACAATATTTTTGTTATAAAAATTAAAGAGAACTATTTCATAATTTATTTAATATTGATCTTCTTTGAAAAATAACACCACGTAATTACAATCTGTATGAAAATATCATTATTGACAAATAAGGTATTCATTTGATTTTGTTTTTTACCTATCTTTAATACCTCCCAAATAGGATTATCAAATCAAAAGAGCTATACACCTCACACCCAGTAGATGCCCAATAAATATCTATTGAATTTCATTTTAGCCCCTCATTAGGTACAGTTTCCTTGACTAACAAGATTTTATTGGGCTTGGTGTTTTTGTAAACATAAATCCTAATTCAACTCTATGATCTGATTAGTCGAATTAAAGCTAAGTTCAGTTTTTCCACTGATTCATTTTAAGACTCTGAGATTGTCATTTTTCCCTCTCTTGGGCCCTCACTCTTATTAATGAAAATATGGAAAATTATAAGGAGTAAATGTCATGGGACTTTCCCCCATCACAGAGAGCTATTGTGAGAAATAACCTCCAAACATAATTGTAAAAAATTTTCAAATACATGAACATAGAGATGACTATAAATTATCAATAATAGACATCATTTAGGCATGTCTTTGTTGATAGTCACTTTCCAGGCAATGAAGAGCACCTGGAACTATATTTCAGTCACGTGCATTTTACTCCCTAGCTTTTCCCACAGACCCAAACTGTCTTGAGTAACAATTGAACTGAAAATTGAATGAAGCATTTAGCTAGTTTGAAAACAACTTGACAAATTCAGTCAATAAAAATAACCCATCGGTTGAGTTCATTTGGTTGGTTGTAAATGTATAAACCTCCAGATCCACAGAGAATTCACAGATTTACACATTTAAGGGCTGGGTGGCTTGAGATATGTTCAAAAAAAAAAAAAGGAACTCTGTGCTCATAGTTGTCCCTGAGCTGTCTTTGGGACCATGTTTCTTTTCTTTGGGACTGCAACTCTTTCCCATAGGACTGCTTTTTAACTCAAGGTTGACCTTCTGAGAAACAGAAGAACTGTTTCAGAGTGTGTTAACAGTATGATGCTGTGATGAGGATGTTAGCTCTGGTGACGGAGGACCTTATATCACCTTGAGCATGTCATTTAACCACCCTCGGCCTTAGTTTCTACATTAAATGAGGGCCTCACAGGATTAGATGGCCTTTCTGACTCCAGATCTATGATCCCACAGACCCCTGTGGGGTCAGTAAAGGAGGAGGGAAGGCATCAAGGTTTCTTTGTTTGAGGTATGGGTAACCTAGTGTATCAGCCCCCTCATGTTAGTGTATTAAGAATAATTTTAAAATATTTAAGTGAATAAAATAGTAGCAAAACAGGAATAAAGTAAATAGTAAAAATTGATTAAAATGAGGGGGAAATCTGACATGGTAAGGAATCACTTAAGATCCTGATGAACTTTTTGTCTGAATTAAAATGGCAAAGTTATCAGGAAATGCTCTGAAGAGACAAACATCAAGTTACTTCTCAGTAGGTAAAAACCCTGAGGGGTGGGGTGAGAGACAGCAGTCCTTACTTTGGTGGCTATTCGTGCAACTTCTAAAGGGTCTTCTACCAGAAACGTGTGACTCAAGCTAGCAGGCATCTTTGTTCTTTGTATGCTTGGAGTGGGAAGAGACAAGGTCTAATCAGCTAAGAGTAGTTTGGGTTGATCTCCTAGTGAAGCCAGTTTCATATAGACCTGAACCAAAGAAAATAACTCTGCTTCTGACTTATCTTCATAGTCAAGTCTACCAAGGACACAGTCAAAATCTTCTCCATTAAAAACGACAAAAACATTGTACTGTGATACACAAATGTAGGATTGGAATCCATGGAAATATACATGCATGCATATGTATGTATATATTGCCATGCTCCATAAATTGAATACATTTCAACAAGTTGGTCAACTAATAAAATATTCATTGTGCACTTCTTATGTGCTAGGTTCTCTGAGGACTTCAAAGAGCTATGAGATGCCATCCGTAGCCTCAGGAATGTTATAATTGAGTTAAATGTAAATACTAAGAGACAGGGGTCCGTGGACAGATAGCCTTGTTGTTGAAGAATGAAGAAATGATCTTGTAGAACAGAAGGTGGCAAAAGAGGAAAGTGGTGAAGAGGATTCAAGATAGTATGATGGTGACCGGAGAACTTCCAACCACGTGAGAGCTGTTCACAAGCAATCAATCCACTCCCCCATCTCAGCCTCCCCATGGAAACCTCTAAGTTCAATTAACAAGCACTTATTAAGCACCTATTATGTACGAGGAACTGGGGATACAGTGACAAAAATTACCTAGTCCCTACCCCCAAGTAACTTACAGTCTGTCTTGCCTGTTTATCACTTCAGCTCGTTTGAGATGGCTGCGACTATTGACTGTAACTAATGCCAGATATGTGAAGGAAAAGTGAAAAATTCAGTCCATTATCTGGATGATTTCCAATTTCATAGGCAAATCTCTACTGAATTTTTCACTTTTCATCAGAATGCTCCAACTCTTTGTCATCATCATAGTGTCACTTCTTTTTATGGAACAACCAGTATTTCTCATCATATACAAAAACAAGGAAAAGATAGATAACTGGAATTTTACCTGGAAATTATTGAATGAATCTGGCTTCTTCAAGATTAAGCACCTGCCTTACATCTTTGATGGTATTTTATTTTATTTTTCATCTGGACCTATGATTGTAATGGTATGGAAACTCCCTGGCATGAAAACTCCTCTCACCAAGACAAAGAGCACCAACTCCCTGAGAATTGTGGCCTCATATTCATGTGATGGGGGGGGGTGCTTGAATGTGTCTTCCTGATGCCTCCCTGCCTCTCACATTACACTATTCTTCACACCAACAACATTGATGAAAATTGACTATGACTTTTTGACGTGATAAGCTTAGTACATGATACCTTAGATTCTTACAGGTGTGGGGAATGTGCGGCCTTGAGGCTACATGTGGCCTTCTAGGTCTTTGGGTGCAACCTTTTGACTGAATCCAAGTTTTACAGAACAAATCCTTTTATTAAGGGGATTTATTCTGTGAAGTTTAGATTCAGTCAAAGGGCTGCACTTGAGTACCTAGGAGACCACATATGGCCTCGAGGCCACAGATTCTCTACCCCTGCAGAATATTTGAGCATTCACTTAGATCTGCAAAGTCTCTAAACATTTTTATAAGACTTATTAGCAAAGCAATCCCCCAATCAATAAATGGAACTACCATTAGATCTAGGAGACTCATGTGGTAAATCTCCAAGCCAGTTCCTGCTTCCATCCTCCAATCCTTAGTTCCCCTGAACTGCATCATCAATATCAGCATTGATGCTTTGCTTGGCAAGCTTATGCTCAGCCACCCCTTTGATGAAAGTTTTGGGAAATTCAGAGGTTACGCCTCTTCCCCAAAGGGCCAGAATCCTTTGTGTTAATACATCTTCATTTTCAAAATATCTTACTCTTCCAGCAAGCTAATATATATTAGGAAGAATATGAAATTCAAAAGGCCACTTCCCCCAAATCTCTTCTAACAGAGAAGCAGTATATCAGAGCTCACCTACCAACAGCCCCATAGGTGAGAAATTTTACTTCTATGGATTCATCTCCTTGAGGAGTCCTTCTCTTCAAGATGCATCTCAAGTACCATCTTCTGCATGAAGCCTTCCCTGAGGCCCCTAACCACTAGTACCTCCCGCCCAAACTTCCCTGTATATAACTACTTTGTATATATTTATATTTATTCACTTTATATTTATGTAGATATATTTTTATATATCATTGCTTCCTCATTTAGAATGTAAGCTCATTGCCAATAGGGATTGCTTCAACCGATTTACTTATAATCCCAGCATACGATACTTGGCACATTGTAGATGTTTTCTTAGTATTTGTCGATTGAATCTTTGGAGACAAAAGTGCACAGGTGTATCTGGAGAAACATGGCCACATTACTTACTGGGATGTATAGGCTAATCTTATTATAGTCATTTTTAGAGGAGTGGAATTGGAAATTCAGGACAGGGACCAAGCTTTCTTCTAAGCAAATATCCATTCCTAGAGGGTCAGCATCCCAAGATTTCTTGGAATCTCTTTATTTGATGACCCTTTTAGAGTCTAGACCTCATAGCTCCATTGAAAGTACAGAACATTCGGCGAGTATGCTGAATCCTTGCTTTACTACTACAGGAAGCAGGTAGGATTGAGAATGACCTGGTGACCTTCAATCAAGTCTTGGGTGGGGCTGACTGCCCGGCAGCAATGTCCTCCCCTTCTTCCTCTATTCCACATAGAATCATAGGATTTAGAGTTGTAAGAAACCTTAACTCCTTCATTTTACAGATGATAAAGTGGAGGCCAAAAGAGGCTAAGTAACTTGCCCAGGACCACACAGGTGAAAAGCAGCAGAGACAGGATTTGAATTCAGATTCTGACTTTATGTCCCAAGCTTTTTCTGTCACACTACAAGTAAATCGCTGGTGTTTTCAGCCTGTGTGCTGCCTTTTTGTGAATGAATGATTAAATGAATGAAAAAGCATTTAATAAAAACTTGTAATATGCCACACATTCATTCTTCTATGCACTAAGGACACAAATATAAAAATGAAACATTCCCTGCCCTCCAGGAGCTTACATTGGGAGATAGACATATAGGAGAGTGGAATCTATGGAAGGGGGCTTGGGTCTATGGAGTCACAGGAATGGTGAGATAATCCATATGGCACTGATTTAACTTTTTCTTCTTTTACTTTTTTCCACTTTTAGACCTTTCTTGATATTCATTTTGCCAGTTTCAGCTAATGAGAATTTTTTAAAGGGGGAAATCATAGAACCTGAAGCTGGAAAAGGCTTTCCTTAGAAGTCATCTGGCTTTTTTTTTAACAGATGAGAAAACTGACACCCCAAAAAGTTAAATGACTTGAACAAGGTCACACAGGTAGTAAGTAGCAATGCCTGGACTTGCAACTAGGGCCTTTGGGATTAATCATGCCTTCCCTTCTATTGTACCTTACTCTTCTCTTGAAAATTACTTACTAATTTCAAGGCAGTAACTTCTAACTTCCATGTGTAAAAAGTGACAGCTCTTATTTAAGGGACAGTGGAGATCATCCTTATTGACTTGAGTTTCTGTTGAAATTTTACTCTGTCAGAAAGCAAGCAATAGGGTCTTATAAGACATGAACTGGTATTGTTCAGGTCTCACAAGAACACATTCCAATTATATTGATGTGTCCTGCTGTTTTGGAACATGAGTCTAGGAGACGAATGTGTAGCTGAATCTCCTGGATATCTAGATAGCTTTGAGAACTCTCACACTGCCCCAGATATACATGTTCATGTCTTCATGAGACATGTGAGTAATTCATATACGCTGGACCTACTGTAGGAGATATATGTGGTATCATGGAAAGAACATTGGACTGGGAGACTGGAGATACGGGTTCTAAATACCAAGGTAACGTTGGGCAAGTCAGTTAATCTCCTTTGGCCTCAATTTCATAGACTCATAAAAGGGAATCTTAGGAATTGTTTAGTCCAACCCTGGCATTTTATAGATGAGCAAACAGAGTCCTAACACACAACACTCCATCTCCTATCTCCATGTCTTTGCATAAGCCCAGAATAATGCCTAGAATACATCCTTTCCTCATCTCCATCTCGTAGAACCTATCTCTTCATTCAAGATGCAGCTCAATGTGAAGACCTTCTTGTGTTCCTCAACTGCTGGTACCCTCCCTCCCTAACTACCTTGTATTTAACTATTTTGCTTGAACTTATTAATTAAATTTATTCTGTATATTCTTATGTTATTCATGGTGGCAATTATTGTCTCTCCCTTTAGAATGTAAGCTTCTTATGAATAGAGATTATCTTATTCATTGCATTTGTATACCCATCACCCATCCCAGTGCCTAGCGAATAGTTTAATAAATGCTTGTTGATTGATTAAATGACTCAACCAAAGTCACAATATGGTTCATGGGCAAAGCTGGGACTAGAACCTGGGCCTATATCCTAGGATCCTTGATCCAACTGCCTGTTACAGTGTCCTTTCAGAAAAAGAAGGGGTTGGATTAGATGATGTCTAAGGTTCCTTCCAAGTCTGAATTCTATTATTCTGTCCATTAAGAGCCTTAAGCATGGTCTCCATTAAACATCCGTCTGTATCTGTTTGCCAGGATATCTCTTCCTATGCAGTACACTGGGGAGTCAGATTTGAGCATGAGAGAGATGCTGTATTTGGCTCCAGGGCACGTTGGCTGCATTCCAGTCCTTAGTCAGCTGAATTTAATACCACAGCCATTTACAGGCCTTAGTTCTCAGCTCAGTTATAAACTCCCCCACACTACTGGCCTAAAAATGGTGAAAAGGTAACTGTCAAATGTGAATGATAAAAGAAATCACTCTTAGCACTTCATTAGTATCATATAACCCAACACATAACATACCAGCTTCCTGCTTATGAGACACAACTATGTGAAATTCATTCTTGGGGGACCCATATTCTTGAATGTGCTTACCCACTCTACAAGAAACTTCTCTAACAACTAATTATTTTCTGGGGCCAGGGGAGTCAGCATATGTTGTTTTCTGATGTTTGTTCTTAAAAAAAAAAAAAAAAGCAAGTGTAAAACCAGGAAAGCAGAATGTAACCAATTTATAATGTCATCAGTGTTTTCTCAGTAGACAGCTTTCTAAAGATCTGGCCCCAGGGCTGTTAGATGGTGCAGTGGATAGAGCACCAGCACTGGGGTCAGGAGGACCTGAGTTTAAATCAGGCTTCAGACACTTAATAGCTGTGTGACCCTAGGCAATTAATTTATTAATTAATTTTAAAAAAAAGATCTGGCCTCAACCCCAGCCTCCAAAATAATGTATTAGTGTAGACTCTGCTTGTTTACTGGCAGAAAAGGATGGTGGGGAACCCTAGGACTGGTTAGCAGAATTGTTTGTGCCATTGTGTGAACTGCTGCTGCTGATGGTTAGGAAAGTGTTTTCTTTAAAAAACAACTATGGAAACTGTGATTTGGGGAGTCTCTGCTGGTGATCCTTACCCCAGACTTCAGAAAATGTAGCTGACTCTGCCTTTTCCATGGTGCAGCTAGGCCGTGATGAGAGGGCTATTTCTCATAGGACTTGTATGACCTTAACCAGGGATGTGTTTATTGTTACTGTACATGTGACTCTTAGATCAGCAGAGTGATTAACCCCATTATAAATAGCATGAAGCTGTTTTGTTGGAAAATTCAGATTATATATATATATATATACACATATATATATCTATATACATATATATCTATATATCTATATCTATGTCTATATCTATATATATATGTATATATATACACACACTCAAGTTGTCTGTTATTAATGACAGGTGCCCATTCCCATTTAAAAATCATATCTGAGAATCACCTTGGCCTGTCAGTTTGTGTGTGGGGAGAAGGGCAGAATTTCCCATGGGTGCTGAATCTCGAGTTCCTCCACTTAGTCACCAAAACAAATCAAGAAAATTAAGCCAAATAAAGCCTAATTTATACACCAGTCATTTGGAATTTTGATCGTTGCACTTGGGCTGGGTCAAAGTTTCCTTTTGTACTGTCTGTGAAGAAAAGATTTGCAAGTAAATTGATAAGGTAAACAGGGTTTTTAGGCATGTTTAGCCAGATTAAATGAACAATCTTTTAAAAGTTCAATACAGTTCTTGGCACATATAGATGCTTATACTAGAAAGACCAGAATTCAAAAATATCTCAAAGAATCAAGCAGCTTTTTTTTTCATCAGTTGAAGTATCTGGTCCCTCTAAACTTACTGACTATATGTATAAAATAAAAGCTACCAATTTCAAATAGATCCTAAGTATTCATTAAAACAAGCTAAAGGACTTCTGTGGGAATTGTCTGTTAGATTTAATCTGTACTTTTAAGTAATACAACTGCATTTCTTTAAATGTTCTTTTTAATAGCCTATTATTCTAAATTTCCATTTATTTAACCAAACTCAGTTATTCTGGGTTGTTGTTTTTTTTTTTTTTGTCTAATTAAAAAAAATTTGGCAGTGGCTTCTATTTTAAGTGCCCCAATTACAGTGCAGAGGGAATTTAGTGATACTCCAGATAATGTAACTTTGATAAATTATAATAGAAACCATTTCCATGTTTGTCTGCCCATTTTTATATGTGTAACACCTAAGTCAATAAAGATGGCAAGGTTTGGAATGTCATTTCCAAAAACATAGTTGAGAGGCAGCTAGGTGGCGCAGTGGATAGAGCACTGGCCCTGAAGTCAGGAGGACCTGAGTTCAAATCCAGTCTCAGACCAAACACTTGCCACTAGCTGTGTGACCCTGGGCAAGTCACTTAACCCCAATTGCCAAAAAAAAAAAAAAAAAAAGATAGTTGAGCTGTAGCTATGAAATGACAAGGAAAAATAAAAAGAGAAATAGCTTCCTTTTTGGTTTATGTGTTATCAAATTATCAACTTGACTGTCTCTAGAATGAATTGTTTTAACATCATGGAGAAAAAAGCAACCTGGTCTCCAAAATTTAAGAAAAAGGAAAAAGCAAATTTAAAAATATGTCTTCTGTATATTACGTGTTATGACTTCAGAAAACAATACAGCTTTGGGCATTACTCTAGAAGGATGAGATTAAAAAATTACTGGATTAAAAGGCATCTTTGCATCCCAGTTCAGATGTTTACTAGCTGTGTGACAAGTCATTTAACCTTTCCACAGCCTCAGTTTTCCTGATCTGCAAAATGGGGGTAACAGTAGCACCTACCTCACAGAGTGCTTGTGAGGTTCCAATGATAGAGTCTTTGTAATGCACTTTGCAAACCCTAATCTGCTCTAGAGATATCAGCTGTTTTTATTATCATCCTTGGTTTTTTTTTCTGTTTTTCAGATATGCCTATTATTATTCAGGATTAGGAGGAGGTGTTCTAATAGCTGCTTACATTCAGGTTTCCTTCTGGACCTTAGCTGCTGGCCGGCAAATTAAAAAAATTAGGCAAAAGTTTTTTCATGCTGTTCTACGACAGGAAATAGGGTGGTTTGATGTCAATGACACCACAGAGCTCAACACGAGGCTCACGGAGTAAGTATTCTGCTAACTCCTTTATCATGTATTTAGAAAAATGCCCTTTTTTTTCCCTAAGAAGATGGACATAAATTGTGTGAAAATATGTACTTTTTACAAAAGAAACATGAAAGGTCCCACTTTAAGGCTGTACTATACCTGTAAGTGAAACCAGATAATAGCCAGACAAATCTTTCTTTTGGCCATCCCAGGCTATTGCTTGTTAATTAATTGGCCCAGTTTCAAGGTGACTTCTCCCCTTAGGGTCAGGCAAAAGTCTTCAGAGGGCTCAAGAATGGTGATGTGCCTTCCACTGGCCTAACTGTATTTGCGTTCAATGCATCTGCTTATGCATCTGTTGGTTTGCACTATACCTTTTCACTGAGAACGCCATGACCATAACCACTCAAGTGTGATTCTTTTTTTAGTGACATCTCCAAAATCAGTGAAGGAATTGGTGACAAGGTTGGAATGTTCTTTCAAGCAGTAGCAACATTTTTTGCAGGATTCATAGTGGGGTTCATAAGAGGATGGAAGTTAACCCTTGTGATAATGGCCATCAGCCCTATCCTGGGACTTTCTACAGCCGTCTGGGCAAAGGTAAGTCAAACAGATGGACCTTTAGGCATGGCTTCTTTGGTACTTAGGAGACCCCTGCTCAGTATGGTTTTCTCTGTAATTCAATTCAGTTCCACAAATATTTATGAAGTGCATCCCATGTGCCAGGCACTGAAGCAACATAGTATAATTGAAAATTTAGTATTGAACTTGGATTCAAGAGAGACCTGGGTTAGACTTCTCCCTCTCATACTTGTTAGCTGTGTGATTATGGACAGACTCCCTTGATATATCTGAACTTGTTTCCACATTTGTAAAATAGGGATAATAATAATAATAATGAGGGGGAGGATAATTAATATTAATATAGTGCCTATAATGGGCCAGGTGCTTTCAGTTATTATTTCCTTTGATCTCCACAATAACCCTGGGAAATTACTTACAGGTTGTGGTTTGTCCTTTGTTCTCTAAGAGGACCCTGACATCCAGGGAGATATGACATGACTTGCAATTGACTTTAATTTGAGAGAGGCCTGCGCAAAGTCACCAGCCTCACTTTCTCCTCCAGAGCCATCTGGGTCCAGTAGCCAGATATTGATCTGGACCATCCGAGCTGCCATCTTGGGGACCCAGCTGACCAGTTCCAGTTGGGCAACTCGGCTGTTCTCTCCTCCCCTCTTCTCCTCCTCCCTTCCACTCCCGTCCCCTCCCCTTTCCCTATCATGCCCTTACCTGAGGGTGTTCTGCCCAAAGGGAGGTAAATTTTGATGGCTGAAACCTACCTAGTTAACTTGGGGTTTACTGCCTAGATTTCTTTCTCAAAGACCAAGCCTTAAACCCAATTCATTCTGGGCCCTCCAGGCTCAGAGTGAATGTCAATAGTAACTGTTTCTCTTTAGGCCAGCAACCCTCAAGGTCTTCCCCTCCCAGTCTGATTTTTTTTTTTTATTAAAGGGGCCGTCATTTGATTCACTTTTTAATGAGGCGTATGGGCATTACTTCACTCAAAGTGAGAACTTGAAAAGACCTTCCCTTAAAAAGGCCAAGGTCTCCCACTGCATCCTGGGCCATCTCCAGTCATCCCGATAAATATATGGCCACAGGACTCAGATGGCTCTGGAGGAGAAAGTGAGGCTGGTGACCTTGCACAGCCCTCCCTCATTCAAATCAAATTCAATTGCCAGTCATGTCATCATCTCCCTGATGTCATGGTCCTCTTCAAGAACAAAGGACAAACCGTAACACCCAACCCTGGGAGATAGATGCTATTATTATCCCCATTTTACAGTTGAGGAAACTAGGGCAAACAGAGGTTAAGTCATTTGCCCAGGGTCACACAGCTAGTTATCATCTGATACTGGGTTTGAACTCAGGCCTTCTTGACAGGAGGACCCTTCACCATGTAGCTGCCCCTGGGGCCTAGGGCCTAGGATAAGGCCTATAGTACCAAAATCACAAGGTTGTTTTAAGGAACAAATGAGATAGTAATCACTTGGAGATATGTGATGGAGGGTCCCTGCTCCCTAACTCAATTTCATAGCAGAAGTAGATATCCTCTGACTGCCTTCGGTCAGCTATAAGAATCTCTTGATTCTGTGGATCCAGAATGCCATGGATATACTTGGCTCCTCAGGCGTCTCCCACCTGTTGACCTCATACAACTCTCTAAGCTCTGGAGAGTAGAAGAAGGGAGATACCCTTCTCCCATTCCCCCCCCCCCCCGCCAAATCTAGGTCCACAAGCTATGAACTTATGATCTCCCAGACAAGCCTCTGTCTAGGATGGGATTGCCTCCTGTTTTGTTTTGTTTTTGTATTTTTTTAGGAAAGAAGACATAAAACCAGGAGAAGACAGCCCCATCCTAGACACAGGCTTGACTAGGGGACCATGAGCTCTCAGTTTGTGGGGCCAGTGGCAGGGAGGAGGAGAGAGGGAAGAAGAAGGAAAGGGCAACCTCCCCGCTCAGCCCGTACTTCAGGGCAGAGGAAGTGGTATAACTCTAGTAGGAGGACGAGGCCTGAGGAGTAGAGATTCTAACTTTAGAATATTCTGGAATTCTGGGCTCAGCAGCCAGTTAAAAGTGTGGGTCTTCTTAGCTGATAAGAAGCAATCAAAAGATAGGTGTTTCAACTCTGAAGTGAGGAGGGGGAGAGCACCTTCATCAAAATTGGGGGAAGGGAGAGCTACTTAAGTATTTTGCAAGCCCTATGCCACAATATAAATGTCTGCTGCTCTTGACAGCTCAGATATGCCTTTTTATGAGACTATATCTAGATGGTGCTAGATTTACCCTATTAGAAAATATTCCAAGTCTTCTCTAATAAAGAGGCAGTTTTTCTTCCAGATTAGAATTTCTTAAAATAAATTTTCATCTATTCAGTTTAACTTATATTAATGATATTGTCACACCATGCCTTGATAGAGGTTCAAGAGAAGGAGCAAACCCTTTAACTGTGTCAAATGATGCCATTAAAATTTTTTTATTATAATTCCCTCTATTTGTGTAAATGTACTTTAAATATAAATAATTATAAGCAGATATTATAATTTTACTTTAAAATAAAAATTTTCATCATACTATCAGTAATATATACAAACACATCATATCAATTAATGTAGCTTGGTCCTTTGAGGTATTCTTAAATTCCTATCATTAATAAATTGTTTAATTGATTTTAACTAAGCCAGTCATGGAAACATTTTTTCTTTTGTTTTTGGTATAAATGCACATCATTCATTTTGGTACTTGGTAAATCATCCAATATAGTTAAATAAAAATTCTTATAAAGTTTTTATTATGTGTTCTTAGCACCTGTGACAATTTAACAATTCAATTCAATGTTATTCAGTACCACTAAGTACTAGACATTCTTCTGGGTATTAGAAGTACAAACACAAAAAAGAAGTCCTTGCCCTCAAAGAGCTTGAATTCTATTTGGGGGTAGGGGAAGTGACCGAGGTATTCACACAAAAGTAAAGACAATGTTTCTCCTGATCTGCCCAAGAAGCATTGGGGTGATGATCAGACTAAGAGAAGGAAGAAGTTAACTTCAGTTAATGAAAATATCTCTTCAGTTTTCCCTAAATTCAAAGAAGATGAATGAGCTTGGGTTTTATTGTCATTCCAGATACTGTCTGCATTTAGTGACAAAGAGTTAGCAGCCTATGCTAAGGCTGGTGCTGTGGCAGAGGAGGCATTGTCTGCCATAAAGACTGTGATAGCCTTCGGGGGACAAAACAAAGAACTGGAAAGGTCAGGATTTTCATCGTGCACTCTAATGAGATGAATTTGGTGGGTCTTTTTATTTTGGTGGGGGTTGGGGGGGGGTGGTTTGGCTCCAGCAGGTTATTTCTAATGGTAATCTTTTCTCCCCATTTTACAGTTGAGGAAACTGAGGTAGACAGAGGTTAGATGACTTTCCCAGGGTCACACAGCTAGTAAGTATCTAAAACCAGATTTGAACCCAAGTCTTCTTAACTGCAGACCCAGCACTTTATCTACTGTACCACATTGAGAAAACCCAATCAACTAAAACCTAGACATTCATAACAGTGTAGCATAATGAAAGCATATTAGATTTGAAGTCAGAGGACCTCAGTTCAAATCCTAGCTCCTCTGTTACTGCATTACTACTGGGCCTCTCTGGGCCTTAGTTTCCTTATCTGCAAAGTGTCAGGGTTCGACTATATCTTCTCAAAAGCCTTTTCCAGATCTCAGGTCATATTTTCATAACATTTTAAGGCTTATCAAGCACAATTTTCCTGACAGCTCCCTCACGAACCAGATAGTACAAAACATTATTACATTTTACAGAAAAGAAACCTAACTCTCAGATAAGTGTCAATGACTTGCACAGGGTCACATAGTTATTAGAGTGAGGGCTCCCAACTCCAACTCTCTCTCATCTAAATTGGGGGTAGGAGGGCAGCAGGGTGATTCATGCTGCAAAAAGACTCTTTCCTTTACAGAAGAAATGAATCCAGAGTTCCTTTAAAATAGTAAGCACAGCCTAATGTATTTAAAATGTGAATCAGTTTTTAAAAATTCAAATTGCAGAAGTGTGGGTCTTTTCATACAGTCTCATCAGTGAATCATTAAAAACTCCATGGGGATTTTCCAGTGCTGATACAAAGATCCCTGATTACCTCTCATTTCCCTTTCTAGCAGTCCCCTACAAAGTGTCCAGAACAGCATCAGAACTGGCCATCTATACAGGCAGCGGATTGTTTCAGAAATTCTCTACCCAGACCTGGTAGACCCCCCCCATTTAAATTGAGCATCTCAGTAGGGGAATTTAAAGAAAGGACTTTCTTTTATAACTTCACAGTGTCAGGGAACCTTCCAGAGGCAAGAGGAAATTACACTGAAAATTGGAAATCTCTTGGCTATCATAGGCTGCCTGAAGGTTGCATAAAAGATAGAAGATGCATCCTACTGTCCATGTAAATCTTCATTTTCATTTCCCTTTCCTTTCTTCCTATTCCTTAACATCTTTCTCCCTCACATCTTCACTGTTCTCTAACCTCTTATTTTGTTTTGTTTTTCTTCTTTTCTTTTTTTCCTTTTGCTGCTGCTTCCCTGAACACAATATTCTCCTCAGACTATTCTGACTCTCTTTTGGACCACATGAGGTCAGGGTAATCACTGCTGCCTCCTTTAGTCCTGGTAAGCAAGTAGCCAAAATGAATGCAATAATGGAACACCCACCCCTCGGGTTGGGATGCTTACGCAGACTGTTCGCTGATATTAGATCTCACTGGAAGTGCTGATAAGCACAGCAGCAGATGCAGAATGAAGCTTAAGTTACTGGACCGTTCTTACCCTTGTGAGATCCAAGCTCAGCATCCTAAGCAGAGAAAGCCAGATTGTAGGGACACATTAACGTAGACGTATGGGTAGAATGCTAGCCTTGGGGGTCAGAGAGATTTGGATTCAAATCTTTATTCTGACACCTTCTGACATTTGAACCTGGGCATCACCCAACCTCTCACTGTCCCAGGCAACTTTCTAAGACTATACAATGTGAGGTGTATTAACTTGTTTCCTGTGGAAGAATTACAAGCTACTCTGTTCTGTTCAAATTGGTCTTATTTCAATGAAAGGTCAAGGAAATTATCTTCATAGGATAAAGAATAGGGGTGATGATGGGATTTTGGAGCCAGAGAAGACATGAGCGAACACCCAACAATACAGTGTAAACTCTTTGAGGGCAGGGACGCTTAGTATTTGTTTTGTATCCCCAGCAGAATTCATGGCACATGCAGGGACTTAATTCATAGAATTTAGTCCAGTCCTTTTATTTTACAACTGAAGAAACTGAGGCCCAGAAAGAATCAGTGGTCAATTTAGATCAAGGACACTGGTCCCTTGATTCCTTCTTCACTCCAAAGTTCTTTCCACTACAACAAAACTATGTCTGTCAAATATTTTAAACCTCAATGATCTACATTATAATTTTATCTTGACACCTTAGGCTCAGTTATTATTTGCAAATTGTGGAATTAGTACATGGTCAGTCCAGATTCATCATAGCAGTATTTGAGTAACAATCACTTTCTCTATCCTGTGATTGTAAGTGGATGTTTTTCTCCTCTTGTCTGCCTTATCCCTTCTAATGATCACGTATTCCAGATTTTTCAAAATTTAACTCTAGTCATAGGAAATAGAAAACTTTCCCTCCCCATCTCCCAAACTGAAGAATACAGTATACCTCCATTTGCTGATCCAGTGATGGTAAATTAAAAAAAAAAAAAAGGAGTCCTCCTTCTCAGTCATCCCCACAAGGATTTCGAATGTACTGTCCATTCTTATGATTATCTTGTCATGTCTGGCACAGAGACAATACAGTAATATTGAATAGGCTTTTTAGTGTGGAGTGAAGATTCCTTCTTGCTGCAGGAAGAAACTGGGCTGTTATGTCTTTAACTATTTAAGGTTGCAAAATCACATGAAGGATTTCAGGGCCTGAAATCTCACCTGCCTTTACCTCATCCCTACATTATGATGAACTCATCCCCTGAAAGCAGTGGTCTGAGCATAGGAGTAAAGAAGACTTGAGCGCATTTGTTGGAAGACAGTTTCTGGACTTGCCCCAGGAATAGTGTTCTGTACTGTTAGGGGCCAAGAGAGGTGGGCCTGGGCTAGTACAGAGCATTCATTCTCCTCCTGGGTCATCCCAAGTTTGAACAGTTTTAATCGGGAGAACATTAATCAGGACTATTATGAGACTGCCATGGTGATTTGGATCCTCAGACCTTCAGGCTTCTTAGGTCTGATGGTGATTCGGAATGCACATTCTCATTTTTATTCTAACTTTTTCTCCCCTCTTCAATTTCTGTTAGGTATCAGAGACATTTAGAAAATGCCAAAAAGATTGGAATAAAGAAAGCTATTTCAGCAAATATTTCTATGGGCATTGCCTTCCTGCTAATATATGCATCCTATGCATTGGCTTTCTGGTATGGATCTACTCTAGTCATATCCAAGGAATATACTATTGGAAATGCACTTACAGTAAGTAGATATCCATGCAATATCCATGAAAAATCTGGGAATATTAGTTATTCATCCCCCTACTTATCTTTACTTCCCCTTCCATAAACCTTTTGTTTCTTCCTCCTTGCCCTCCTGATCCTTTGACATTAAGGTTTTATTTTCTACCATTACGTAGGCCATTTTTTTTTTCTCTCTCATCTTTGGTCTAATAGCTCCCATAACCCCAGCTAGCCATATTGTAAATGTGTGCCACTAGACGTAACAGGGACCTTGGCAAGAGTGGATGATTTCAGTAGAGAGGTACATGTTCCAAGCACCATCAAATGTGGTCACTGGGGCAGATGGTTTCGCCTAACTACTTTTGTTACAGAGGCAGCCTCATTAGGTGGGGTATAGGGAAATAAATTTAGAAACATCTGTGCTATAAAATAAAATGCATCAAGAAGGCTTATTATTAATTAAAAAGAAATAGTGACCGGATCAGGGCAAGTCATTATTCTTTTAGTACCTAACATGACATCTTGCAGAGTAGATGCTCAATAAATATTTATTGAATGAATGAATAGTACATAATTCCAAGCACTTACCTTACTGATGGTAGATTAACAGCAAGACTGTCCACAAGATTTACAGCTTCGATTAGACAGGGGATATGATCCAAATTTTGTTGGGGACAGGCACACTGGGGGCAACACTGACAGCTAATGGACAGAGGGCTGGTAGCAAGCTTATGTAGTAAACCTTTACTGTTTTGTGTACAGTTCTTTTTCAGTTCTCCTTTGTATTTAGAAAGGCCTGATTTATTTAGTATTTAAGTTCAAAAATTAAATTAAGTTCTTAGAAAAGGAACAAAGGGCTGAACTAGCAGTTGATGAAATGGGCACTATTAGAAGTGAAGTCATTTGAGAAGGGGATGACTAGAGCCAGGTTTCTAAATCTAATCATCAACAGAGGGCTGGGTTTGGGCTGAGGCATTAGATTAGAGAAGAGATCACTGGAAGAAAACGAATAATGGGACCTGCTGCGGCTGTGGTCAAGCCTAGGAAACCACTTAAGAGTAAGTGAGATAGGAAGTGGGATCAGATCCGAGGAATCCAACATGACAAACCCATGGAAATTTGCTGCCAAGTTCTGCTTTTTAACGTCTCCGCCTTAGGCCTGAGCTTTGAGTGCTGTGAGACGGGAGAACAATGCCTAGATCATCTGGAGCAGTGTCTTCATCTCTTTCAGCCAAAGAGCTTTCTGAGTCTATCTCAGGAGGCAGTCATGTGTTCTTAGGCGAGACATGGGACTCAGCTGGGGGAGAGAGATGAAATTAGAATCTGCCAAATCTTGTCCAATTCCCCAGTCTAGGATTAGGGGTCCCTAGCCAGGGTCCTGATGTCATCTTTATCTATAAGAAATATGATTATCATTACTATTAAGTAAATGTTAAACTTATTTATATACAGTAAAATTTCAGCTATCTGAAACCCTTGAGAAATACATTATTCTGTTAACTGAGATTTCTGCATTCCTGAGGTTTCATCCAATTAGGTACTGATAGTGTTTATTTTAAATATTTTATATGGAAATCTTTAAAAGAAAAAAAAAAGATTGCCTGATTTCTTAGTTTCTTGAGCAGGGTTAATTAAACATAGTAAAACATTTTCTTAATGACTCAGAATCTTTATTCTGAACAGTAATCATTGTATTGAGCAGCGTGGTATGGTAGAGTATGGGGTTTTGAGTCAGAGTTCAAACCCTGGCTCTGCCAATTACAACCTATGTGACTTTGGGCAAATCATTTAACTCCTTGGGCCTCAGTTCCTTTATTTATTAAATGACCAGGCTGGACTAGACAACCCTTTGAGATTTCTCTCAGGGCCAGATCCTATGAGGACACCTACCCTTATTTCTACTTTCCACAGCCCGTTAAATAAATAAGAATCAAGGCTCTTACTACCAAAACCTAGGCATTTCTAAATGATGTGAATTTATTCCTCTTGTGGAAAAAAAAAATAAAAATTCAAATTAAAAGGTAAAGTGTTTGGTTGTACTTAGACAATAGCCCAAAATTACTTCCAAGGAATTCCTAAACAGTATATCTGGGTGGCAGTGTCTTAATGTGTCTAGTTTTGGTCCTAACGTGCTTAGCAAGATATTTATTTCAAAATGTGCTTTTTGTGAGAGAATTTTGCAGACCAAACCTCTTTGTGGGTTTGCCATGGCCCATGCTGTCAGGTTCCTATGTGTCTTATCTATAGCATCCCCTGTAGTTCTAAGAAGGAAAAAAAATCATTTGGGAATAATTAATAAAGCTGTAAGATCTTAGATGTAAAGGGGCAGCTAGGTGGTGCAGTGGATAGAGCACCGGCCTTGAAGTCAGAAGGACCTGAGTTCAAATCCGGCCTCAGACCAATCACGTGTCACTAACTAGCTGTGTGACCCTGGGCAAGTCACTTAACCCCAATTGCCTAAAAAAAAAAAAAAAGATCTTAGATGTAAAGCTGGCAGAGGCCATTCAGTCCAACTACTTCATTTTGCAGATGAGGAAATTGAGGCCCAAGGAGATAAGCATTTGTAAGAGAGGGCTTACTCTCTATAGACTCTGCCTTAGAATGCTGGGAATGGAATGAAAACCTGACCCTGCATTAGTCTAGGAGAGTAGCAACAGAAAGTTATATTTGAGGTTTGTTTGTTAACTTGCAAGTATATGTGTGTGTGTGTGTGTGTGTGTGTGTGTGTGTATGTATATGTATGTATATATATATATATATGTACGTATGTATGTATTATAGGGAAATTCATTTAGGGAAAAATGAAACAATTTAGATTATGAAGTACAAACTTGGATAAGTCCTATGTAACTTTGCTGTGCCCCCAAGCTCCAACATTTCTTCAGAATAATCCAGCTAGGTAGGGTTTACCAGGTGAATTATGGTCCTAAAATTGACTGTCCACATTTTTCTCCTCCTGTCTTCTCCATAGGTCTTTTTTTCAATATTAATAGGAGCTTTCAGTGTCGGGCAGGCTGCACCATGCATTGATTCATTTGCTAATGCAAGAGGAGCAGCTTATGCAGTCTTTGATATTATTGATAACGTAAGTCATTTGTTTCCTTCAAACATAAAAAAAATTCGTTAAGGATTGACAAATTAAATCTAGTTTAAATGTGTACATGTAGAATGGATTAAGTCAGCTTCTCTCAGTTGGGGGTGAAGGAAATGATGTCCTTGTTTATTTGAACATTTGTAATTAGAAGACAACTTTAACATCCTAGAAACTCTCCTGTTTTGACGAGTATAGTTAGATCAACCTTTGATGATCAGTGGGTACAGCAGGGATATTCATTGTGAGGGTCTGGGTTTTCTCCAAGTTGAGTATTTTAAGGAGGAAGTTGATGGCAAAGGGAATAGATTACAGACCTGAAGTCAGGAAATTCTGAGTTTGAATTTGGCCTCGCACACTTAGTAGCTGTGTGACCCTGGGAAAATCACTTAAACCTCTGTTTACCTCAGTTTCCCCAACTGTATAATGGGGTAATAATAGCACCTACCTCTCAAGGTTGATGTAAACATCAAGTGAGATAATACTTGTATCATTAGGGCAGTGCCTGGCACATGGTAAACACTACATAAATGCTTATTCCCTTCTTTCCCCCATCCCTTTCAGTACCTAGATTGCAGCAGTAAATAAATAGTACTAAACTTAAGATAGAGAAGACCTGAGTTTGGATCTCACTTTAGGTACTAACTAGATATTTGATCATGGAGAATTCATTAACCTCTCTGAGCTTCAGTTTCCTCATCTGTAAAATTGAAAAAAAAATAGTCCCTACCTCACGTGGTTTTGAGAATCAAATGAAATAATGTATATGAAGTGCTTTGCCAATTTCAGAGCTCTATAAAAATGCTAGCTGTTATCTGAGATCTTATTTTGTAATTATACTTGTGTAACTTTGGCTTCCATTTTGAGGAAGACGACTAATCCCAGAGGGTTTGGAGGCTAGGCCACCACTTGCCCTGGATGGTTAAATATGAAATATAAAAACAAACTCAAAACCAGATCAATGGATTGTACCATGGCCAGACATGATTACTGTGGTTTCCTGCAGGCCAATATATATAATACTTTTCATCATTTGATTGGCATGATTATAGAATGTCTAGAATGATTGAATGGATCTGGCTATAGGCCAGTTTTACTTAATGTAGGGATGAAGTCAATCCATGTTATCGAGGCACTGATCTTGATAATTAATTACAAAAACCCCAAGCCCAGATTTTAAAAAGACAGAGAAAGAGAGAGAGAGACAGACAGACAGACAGAGTGACAGAGAGAAAGAGACAGAGAGAGAGAGAGAAGGCTTTACATTTTTGAGTTTCACTGATCAAATGCATAAAAAAAACTCCACAAAAAAAAAAATCAGCAACTATCCCCAGGTGGGCTAGGTTTTTGCTTGAGGGTCAAACCACAGCCTTTTTTGTTTAGATAATGAGATAAGAAGGGTTTTTACATTTAGGAATTCTATACAATTGATACCATAAATCATAGAACTATAGATTTAGAAGTTGAGGGGACCTCAGAGGCATTAACTCTAACCACTGCATTTTACAAATAAGGAAACTGAGACTTAGAGAGGTTAACTGACTTTCCCAGGGTCACACAGATAGGGAAGGAAGGAGGGAGGGAATCTGCATCTATTAAACACTTTCTATATGCCAGACACTACACTAAGTGCTTTGCAAATATTGTCTTATTTTCACATCAATCCTGGGAGCTAGGTGCTGTTGCTTTCTTCATTTTACAGTTGAGGAAACGGAGGCAGAATGAGGTTAAGTGACTTGCCCGAGGTTACTCAGATAGTAAATGTCTGAGGCAGGATTTGAACTCAGGTCCTCCCGACTGGGCTCAGCACTCTATCCACTGTACCACTTGATATTTAGTTGTGTGACCATCAGCTAGATTGTTTGGTCAGTAGTTACATACTTTTGTTAAGACAACTGCAATAATGGAATCAATTACAATGGTGATGATGGTAATAAGAATGAGAATGAAGCTTTATGTAGTGCTTTAAGCATTTTACATGTATTTCCTCAATTTCTAATTAGCATAGTACAGTGGAGAGAGAGCACTGGCCTTGGATTCAGGGGACCTGGCTTCAAGTCTTGACGGTTGTTTCCTGCCTATGTGATTTTAAATGTCTTCCCCCCTCTAGGCCTAGGTTACCTCATCTGTAAAATGAGAGAATTGAAATCGATGGCCCCAAAGGTTTCATGTAGCTCACAATATATGATTCTATAACTTGTGTCATACTTTACACTTCATATTTCCTTATAGCACCTCTGTAAGGTGTGCTATAATTATTATAATTATAAATATAATTATTCACAATTTATATATAAGGTAATAGAGCTTTATAAAGGAAAATTGATCTGGGCAAGGCCACCCAGCCAGTAAGTGGCAGGTCTTAAACCTAGTGTCCGACTCCAAATCTAGGGTGCTTTCCAGTGTCCTGTGTCACCTCTGCAGTATAGGTGTTGTTAGTCCATTCCCCCAAAGTATCTGTGGATAGACGCACAACTAGAAGGAAAATAGAGGACAGAGTCAGAGAAATGCATGAGGGAAGGGACTAACAACACATAATAGCCATATTACAAAAAACAAAAACAGAAACAAAAAAACAAAAAAAGAGTGAGAAAATTGTACTTCAAAGGGCACTCAGATTTGATCAGTTCATTCTCTGGAGGTGGATAACATGTATTTCCTGTGTTAAGAAACACTCTTTTGTACCTCAAATCAAGTCTAGTAAGAATTTATTAAGCTCCTAGTAGATACCACTGTGCTAAGCTCTCAGGATACCAATAAAAGAAGGAAAGAAAGAAAGAATGAAAGAGAAAGAAAGAAAGAAAGAAAAGGAAAGAAAGAAAAGAAGGAAAGAAAGAAAGAAAGAAAGAGAGAGAGAGAGAAAGAGAGAAAGAGAGAAAGGAAGAAAGAGAGAGAGAGAAAGAGAGAAAGAGAGAAAGGAAGAAAGAGAGAAAGAGAGAGAGAGAGAGAGAGAGAGAAAGAGAGAAAGAGAGAAAGGAAGAAAGAGAGAGAGAGAGAGAAAGAGAGAAAGAGAGAAAGAGAGAAAGAGA